CCCCCCCCGGCGGACCCCGCGCTCTTCTCTCTCATCATCACGTGTGTTCCGGAGGGAGAGGAGGTTGTGTGGTTTATACCAATTGTATTGGATATGACGGTCGCACAGTGGAGTTTACGGTTCGCTGGGTGCACTATGTTGAGCGTCAGTAAACTTTTGTCATTTGGATTTGAGTGTTTGAGGAGTTTCGGGGGGTAGAGTATTTTTTTAAATGGTTTTTTTCGCGGCTTTTGCTGAGGTATTTGTGTTGAAGATGATATAAATATCTCAGAGAAGGGATAGGGTGGGGATAACTAGGAATGCAGATGCGTCACATGATCCGTCACAATTTTACAAGAAAAAATTGCAGTCATTTTTCATTTATGTAGATGGCAATTTATATTTTCTTTGTCAATTTTTATTTAAATTCATTTCGTATTAGCCTAATGTAAATTTTTAAATCAAAATCACCGTCATTTTTCGTCCATGTAGATTAAACTATTTTTATATTTATGACTAGCGATGGGTCATGTTTATCGATTAATCGAAAACATCGATTTTTCATGCCCAAACATCGATGTTTTTGAGCCAGCTAATAAATTTTTTTTTAGCGAATAATAATACTGATTGATTAAGAATAATAATGGAATAATTTATCCGCAATCAGAAGTAATTATTTTCTCCAGTATGAAAAAATAACAGTCCAGTCGTCTATCGTTTTTTTCAATTTTTTTCAAAATTTTTAATATTAAAAAAAAAAATTTCCTGTCTAATCAAGAAAAAGATCGATTCTTCGATAATCGATGTTTTTTAAAACATCGCCCATTCCTATTTGTGACCACCATTTGTAGTCAGAAAATTTATGCGTCACAAGATCCTCACAAGCCTGTCATTTTTGGTCACATGAGGGGATCAAAACGCCGGTCCTTTCGCATCTCTAGCAATAATAACCGAGCGCAGCACCTGAAGTTGGCGCTAGGTCCAACCGACGGGGAATCCCGCGGCCCCTAACCTACGAAGACCGCCTGTAACCGCTGAACTTAACCCCGAGTGTCTCCTCTCCCACAGAAAACAGAACGGAGTCTCTCGTTGTTTAAATTCACTACTCAATAACTTACCTTTACGACTGAACACAATTTTTAAAATTGGGGTGACGTAAATACACCAACAAACCCACTGACTCACGTTTGATCGATATTAAGGGTTGACTGAAGGTTTTACGCTCGTCGGGATAAACAAGCGTCTGGCCCTCGTAAATTGATGAGTCATTAGCATAAAGCGTGAGCTCGCGGAGACGTTACTCGACCGTCAGGTGACATAACCCCAAATAATTCGACTCCACGTCGTCATTTAAAATTCGCACAAACCAAGTTCGTCCAAAATTCGCAATTTACGATCGAGGAAAAATCCACTCGAAGGGATTTCGCGGTCAATAGTACCTCCGCAACCAATCGCGTCACGTCTCCCTCAGCTGGTGCGACGGAGAGGGCAAATGGGAAGGATACACAGGAGTAAAAAGGGAGGGAGGGGAGAGACCTGACCGCATCTCCGAGCCGCCTCCGACAGCCAGATATAAATTAAATTAATTTGATGGAAGCGGAATCCCTCGGTATCTCCACATCTCCCTCTCCCTCGCACTTTTACTCCTCCCTCCCCCTCACCCCTCGTTGTTACTATCCTGGGCGCATATTTGCTCGACCGCGGCCACGTCGTATCTATCCGACACACAGGTTTGATTAAATTTCGTTCCAGTTACGCGAATCTCT